GGTCAATTTTGATTTCTTGGATTGGATGGGAACAAAACACAAAGTTATTGAACTAAAATAAAAGATGTTTGGTGGACTTGTAATCATAAGCTAAATATGGGAGTGTTATCAATGATATATAGGCAAATCAAATTTAGGCTTATGATTTGATTTTTGACACTTAATTCCATTGTGCATTATACTTTATTAAAGAGGGAAGGGGGATTTTATATATATATTCCTACTCCTACTTCATCATGGGAAAATTGCCAAACAATATAGTATTCATTAAATCATTGCAAAAGGGTCATCCACTAGTTAAATACCACAAAAATCCAAGTTGACAAGTTAGGTTAAGGCCTTGCTTGTCGGACTCAATTCCGTGTATGGTTAGGCCATCTATTTGGGTAAAATCTTATTTTTAGCCCCTCACCTTATCAAGTTTGAAGTTTTTAACCCCTTACCTTATACTTATGATACTTTTAACTCCTTACCTTATTAGATTTATAGGTTTTAGCCCATCACCTATTAAAATTAAAGAAAATAACCCTTACTTTATACTGACTGTTAACTTTATTAGTTGAGTTGAAAGTAGGTTTTTGTCAACTAACAATCAACTAATAGTCAGTTAACATAATTAACGAAATATTATAAAGTTAATTTTGTTAACTCTATTAGTTGAAAGAAAATTTTTATAAGCTAATAATCAACTAACAATCAATTAATAGAGTTAACAGTCAACTAACATAGTTAATAAAACAAACAAGATGTTACAAAGTGAGGGTTTTTTTTCTTCAATTTTAATAAATAAGGGGTTAAAAGTGTTATAGTATAAGGTGAGGGACTAAAACCTATAAATCTAGTAAGGTGAGGGGTTAAAATATCATGAGGGGCTGAAAATTTTAAATTTAGTAAGGTGAGAGGCTACAAGTAAGTTTTTGCCTTTTGTTTGAGGAAGACAACGTGGGACCCTACGAAGAATTAGGTTTTTTTGGCAAAAACCCTCGTTAAGCCCGTCAACTTTTTCGACAACTAGTGATAAGCCCTTGAACTAAAAAAGTGGCAGATAAGCCCTCAAACCCCACGTAAGGAGCAAATTAGCCCCTTCACTAATTGAGCTCTGTCACGCCATTAGTGTAATGGCTTGCGTGGCATTTGACGTCTAACTAACTCCAACATGGTTCCAACGTGGCTTCAATGTAGTATTAGTGGTCCATGGGCGGAAATCATCCCTGTCTAAACAAAAAACTTTTAACAAATAAAGAATTTTTTATGACATAAAAAATAAAAAAATGTACCTTAATATTATGACTTGATGTAAAATTATTAAAATACTTTTAATAAATATTTTTTTATTGATTTATTAAAGTTATTTTAATCTTTTTATTATTATTTATGGTATTTTAATTGCATTTCGAAATTGTTTAAAAAATAATTAAAATGTCAGAAATAAAAATAAAAGGACTAAAAAGTCTAAAATATCTTTAGTGAATCAAAACAAAAAATATTTATTAAGAAAATATTTAAATAATTTTACGATGAATTTTGAAATTTAAAGTGCCAAATTTGTGCCTTAAAAGACACATTTTTATCATCAATTTATATTGAAACATATAAAAACTAATATTAATTTTAGTGTCATTATTGTGTTGATAAATTAAATTAGATAATTGATAAATTAAATATCAATATTTATTCTTTCAATATAAATTTATGATAAAAAATATATTTATTATATTTTTAATATGTATTTTAAGAGTAAATATTAGAAAAACCCTTTCATAATACTCTTTCTGTTAATTTTTAATAGATTTAGTTTTTTTTATTAAAATAAAGATGTAACAATTTATTAATAAAATTTCACATTTATCTCTAATTAAATCACTTAAATAAAA